CTCTCGGCGCTCAAAGGAGGCTCCCACGGCCCGGCCGCGCTGCTTTAGCCACGATGGGCTCTGTTGGGTCTCAGCACGGGCAGAACAGAGCCCCGGAGAGCGTCGCAGCAACTCGCAGGGGGACGAGGGCCGGCGCCTTCGCTGTCATCCTGCTGCCTTGATATCCTGCTGCTGTTTTCCGCACGCAGCAGGATATCAAGGCAAGAGCAGCTTCAATCATGTCAGAGGCTAAAGAGCAGGCTCCAATATACTTAATTTATAGCACTGCGTGAAGCAGATGCCTCTGATGCGCCACCGGTAAGGCAATATCCTGCATCAAGCCCAGCTCACGTTGCAGAGGTCACATTCCAAGCCCTTTCAGTGAATTTTTGCTATTGCTTCCAGCATCAGCATTGGTATTGCTGGAACTTTCACCTTCTTAACCCAGATCCTGGAGGTAGTGTCTAACCTTCCCCGAGAAGGGCAACACCCTCACGGGACAGACCAACCCTCCAAGCAACAGGCCATCTGATGACACTCCCAAATTGAGACTTAAAATAAAAGCCAGCTACATCCCCACAGTCACAACAAGCTCAATCAGGGTTGCCCACCTGAAAAACAAGAGGAAAAATGTCAGTCTCTGTTGTGACAAGCACCACTGCAAGGCCAAGGCGCAGACATCATTTTGGGCAGTCTTCCAGGTCAGCAGAATGGCAATGGGCAGAGCCATCGACACAAGTCGTCCCAGAGCAGTAAGTTGCTCTTCCAGAATAAACTCACACACCAACATGTTCTTTTTGTTCCCTGTTTCTGGACAGGATCAACCCATTTGCTGCAAAATCTCCATGGAGTTGAAGGAAACTCACGTTTCATTGAGTAAGAGTAGGTTCTCACCCAGGAAGGGCTAAGGAAAATTAGAAGAGTAAATATCAGTGCCCCAGCTTCTTGTTCAACAGAGATGCTGCAGTTAGACTAACAGCACTGTTACATGCAGCTAGAGACTTGGAATATCGAAGAAATCACAATCTGGCAGTCAAAGGGCTTGGCAGGAACAGGGAGCCATGAGCTTCTGGCTGGAAGTCTACCCGCTCTCCGGGAAACTCAGCCATTTCGGAGTTCTTCCCTGGTTGGGAGGCATTCCTTTGGAAAGCAGAGCTTGCACTGCAGATCTCAGTAACCTTCAAGCCCCATTTCACCCTTGCAGATCAACAAGGTAGAGTGGACAGGAGATATGTGCACTGGGGATGGAGTCAAGCCTTGCACGTACCATAAAAAGCCAAGTGCAAAGAGCTACTCCACACTTCCTTGTAGCTGGAACCTTGATAAATGCAAATTTGAGACCAGCGCAGGGCCACAAGGATGATCCGGGGCCTGGAACATCTGCCCTATGAGGAGAAGCTGAGGGAGCTGGGCCTGTTCAGCCTGGAGAAGAG